GTAATTGCTGGGATCACCTCTAGAGCCCTTTTTAAATTTTGGCGTTACATTAACTATCTTCCAGTCATTGGGTACAGAAGCTGATTTAAAGAACAGGTTACAAACCTTAGTTAATAGTTCCGCAACTTCACATTTGTGTTCTTTCAGAACTCTTGGGTGAATGCTATCTGGTCCTGGTGACTTGTTAATGTTAAGTTTATCAATTAATTCCAAAACTTTCTCTAGTGACACTTCAATCTGTGACAGTTCCTCAGATTTGTCACCTACAAAAGCCGGCTCAGGTTTGGGAACTCCCTAACATCCTCAGCCGTGAAGATTGAAGCAAAGAATCCATGTAGTTTCTCCATAATGACTTTATGATCTTTAAGCGCTCCTTTTGTATCTCGATCATCGAGGGGCCCCACTGGTTGTTTAGCAGGCTTTCTGCTTCTGATGTACTTAAAAAACATTTTGTTATTACCTTCTGAGTTTTTGGTTAGCTGTTCTTCAAACTCCTCTTTGGCTTTTCTTATTACATTTTTACCCTTAATTTGGCAGTGTTTATGCTCCTTTCCATTTAGCTCACTAGGATTTGACTTCCACTTTTTAAAGGACGTCTTTTTATCTCTCCCTGCTTCTTTTACATGGTTGTTAAGCCACGGTGGCTCTTTTTTAGTTCTTTTACTGTGTTTTTTAATTTTGGGAATACATTTAAGTCGGGCCTATATTATGGTGTCTTTAAAAAGCGCCCATGCAGCTTGCAGGGATTTCACTTTAGTCACTGTACCTTTTAATTTCTGTTTAACTAACCCCCTCATTTTTGCATAGTTCCCCTTTTTGAAATTAAATGCCACAGTGTTGGGCAGTTGAGATGTTCTTCCCACCACAGGGATGTTAAATGTTGTTATATTATGGTCACTATTTCCAAGCGGTCCTGTTATAGTTACCTTTTGGACCAGCTCGTGCACTCCACTCAGGACTAAATCAAGAGTTGCCTCTCCCCTTGTGGGTTCCCGTACCAGCTGCTCCAAGAAGCAGTCATTTAAAGTATCAAGGAATTTTGTCTCTGCATTTCATCCTGAGGTGATATGTTCTCAGTCAATATCGGGATAATTGAAATCCCCCACTATTATTACGTTCTTAATTTTGATAGCCTCTCTAATTTCTCTTAACATTTCATCATCACTATCACTCCTGGTCAGGTGGTCAACAATAGTTCCCTAATGTTATATTCTTATTAGAGCATGAAATTACTATCCATAGAGATTCTATGGAACATGTGGATTCACTTAAGATTTTTATTTCTTTTTATTCTACATTTTCTTTCACATATAGTGCCACTCCCCCCCCGCCAGACCTGTTCTGTCCTTCTGATATATTTTGTACCCCAGAATGATTGTGTCCCATTGATTGTCCTCAGTCCACCAGGTTTCTGTGATGCCTATTATATCAATATCCTCCTTTATCACGAGGCACTCTAATTCACCCATCTTATTATTTAGACTTCTAGCATTTGTGTACAACCACTTTAAAAACTTGTCACTGTTTATTTGTCTGCCCTCTTCTGATGTGTCCAATTCTTTATGTGAATATTTCTCATCTGATCTGGCCCTTACATTATCCTCTTCCGTCCTCTGCTCCTGACTATAACCTAGAGAATCTCTGTCAAATAGACTCTCCTCTAAGAGAAGTCTCTGTCCGATCCACATGCTTCTCTGCAGCAGTTGACTTTCCCCCATCTCCTAGTTTAAAAACTGCTCTGCAACCTTTTTAATGTTAAGTGCCAGCAGTCTGGTTCCACTTTGGTTTAGGTGGAGCCCATCCTTCCTGTATAGGCTCCCACATCCCCAAAATTTCCCCAATTCCTAATGAATCTAAACCCCTCTCTACACCATTGTCTCATCCACACATTGAGACCTGAAGCTCTGCCTGCCTACCTGGCCCTGCATGTGGAACTGGGAGCATTTCTGAGAATGCCACCATAGAGGTCCTGGATTTCAGTCTCTTCCCTAGCAGTCTAATTTGGCCTCCAGGACGTCTCACCTACCCTTCCTTATGTCATTGGTGCCTACATGTACCACGACCACTGGCTCCTCCCCAGCACTACACATGAGTCTATCCAGATGCCTCGAGAGATCTGCAACCTTTGCACCAGGCAGGCAAGTCACCATACGGTTTTCCCGGTCATCACAAACCCAGCTGTCTATGTTTGTAATGATCGAATCTCCCATTACTAACACCTAGTGACTGGAGTTCCCTCCCCCGGAGAGGTAACCTCAGTGCGAGAGAATACCCTAACACCATCTGGAAGGAGGGTCCCAACTATGGGAAGGTTTCCCTCTGCTCCTGTTGACTGCTCTGCTTCCCTGGGCCTTTCATCCTCCTCAACAGTGCAGGGGCTGTCTGACCAGAGGTGGGACAATTTTACAGTGTCCCGGAAAGCCTCATCAACATACCTCTCTGCCTCCCTTAGCTCCTCCAATTCTGCCACCCTGACTGCCAACGCCCATACGCAGTCTCTGAGGGCCAGGAGCTCCTTGCACCGAATGCATACATATGCTACCCACCCACAGGGCAGGTAATTGTACATGCTGCACTCAGTGCAATAAACTGGATAGCCCCCATCCTGCTGCTGGGCTTCTGCCTGCATGGTCTCCTAGTTAATGAAAGGGTTTTGTTTAACTCAAGAAGTTTTGAAAGTAGTTTAGTTTATAGTTTTAAGAAACAGGGCCCTTGCCCCCCTTCCCAACTCCCTTGCAAAACTCCCTGTTAGCAGCCCCTGTTCACTTGCACAAAGCTTTATAAAGCCCTGGCCTGCTTGATAGCTCCACCCACTGACTAAGGGTCAGCCAATTAACAGAGGCTTCTAGCTTTCAAACCTTCCTTTGAAGCTCACTGCTTCCAGCTGCCAACCACAGCACACAATCCTTCAAACAACCAAACAAACATATGGACAAACACAAGCTCAGCACACAGCGAGTAACCCCCAAACAAACCACACTACAGACAGTCACTTACCCCAAAGGTGCTGTATTTGCTCCTCCTTCACCTGGAGAACTCCCTGTTAGGAGCTCCTGTTCCTTTAACCTGCATTAAGATTTATTTAAAAGGAAACAAGAGTTGTTTACAAAGTTAAAGCTGGTTAAAGGAGATGCAGATGAGTTACAGTCTTAAATTTCAAAAGGTAATAGAAGCTTCTATAATAAGCAAGCTCTACATATTCTTTAGGACTCATGCAAGCTAAGCAGCTAGGGATCTCTTGCTTATGCCTAGAAACTTTTCCCTCCAGAGTCCAAGCAGCATACAGACAATCAGTTCCTTCTGTATGGGTTTTTTTAATCCCCTTCTTGCCAGGTGCTCTGAGCTGGAAACTCAGTTAATGGGAGGTCAAGAGCACAACAATAGTCTTTTGTCTTCTTTAACATCCCATAATAGTCTATCTGGTGTTGATGGACCTGGGGGCTTTTGCAAGAGCTAACACCTCATCTGCCAATGTCACAGGCAGGGTGGGCAGGGATGGTGTCTCTAGACTCTGTTTGCCAGAAGCTGGGAATGGACGACAGGGGATGGATCTCTTGATGATTACCTGTTTTGTTCATTCCCTCTGAAGCACCTGGCATTGGCCACTGAGCTAGATGGACCATTGGTCTGACACAGTGAGCCTTTCTTATGTTCACAGTTTCTATCAGGAGTATCTACTCATTTGGACTCACTGGGGAGCCACAGACAGAAAGAAGGTGTGCTGAGGCAAGAAGGCACAGTCTCAGAGCCTTCAGGGTCAAACTTGCCAAAAGCTAAAACTAAGCCCAGCCCATGAAAGGGGGCACTCCCAGGAGAGACTGTATAAAGGCTGGAGCATCAAAAAACTTAGTTAACCTGAGACAGCTGCCTTGGGGACAATGACAGGGAGAATCCCCCAAAGTGACTCCTTTGATTCTGCTCTTCTGTGGCCTTTGGTTTATAGAATAATAGAACTGGAAGGGACCTCGAGAGGTCATCTAATCCAGTCCCCTGCACTCAAGGCAGGACTAAGTATTATCTTAGACAATCGCTGACAGCCTGCTCTTAAAAAATCCCCAATGATGGAGATTCCACAATCTCACTTGGCAATTTATTCCAGTGCTTAACCACTTGGATAGTTAGGAAATTTTTCCTAATGTTCAATCTAAACTGCCCTTGCTGGAATTTAAGTCCATTACTTCCTGTCTTACCCTAAGAGGTTAAAAAAAAATTCTCCCTCCTCCTTCTAACAACCTTTTATGTACTTGAAAACTGTGATCATGTCCCCTCTCAGTCTTCTCTTCTCCAGACTAAACAAAAGCAATGTTTTCAATCTTCCCTCATAGGTCATGTTTTCTAGACCTTTAATCATTTTTGTTGCTCTTCTCTGGACTTTCTCCAATTTGTCCACATCTTTCCTGAAATGTGGTGCCTAGAACTGGACACACTATTCCAGTTGAAGCCTAATCAGCACGGAGTAGAGCGGAAGAATTACTTCTCGTGTCTTGCTTACAATACTCCTGCTAAGACATCCCAGAATGATACTTGCTTTTTTTGCAACAGTGTAACTCTGTTGACTCATATTTAGCTTGTGATCCTTTTCCGCAGTACTCCTTCCTAAGCAGTCATTTCCCATTTTGTATGTGTACAACTGATTGTTCCTTCCTAAATGAAGTACTTTGGATTTGTCCTTATTGAATTTCATCCTATATACTTCAGACCATTTCTCCACTTTGTCCAGATCATTTAGAATTTTAATCCTATCCTCCAAAGCACTTGCAACTCCTCCCAGCTTGTTATCATCCACAAACTTGGTAAGTTTAACAGCGAGACTCTGCTGATGGGAGGGTCTCACCATATCTCAGAGGGTTACACCCTGGTGGGAGGAGGCTAGGCAATAAGGTCACTCTGTGCTTCACAGTTTGGCAGAACCTAGCATGGAAAAATCCAGAGGGAATCACTTGTGGAATGAAAAAAAGCCCCATCTGAATGCTCTCATATTGCCCTTCTCACCCTGGCAGGCTACAGAATAATGTCCACCTTTCGCTCCAGATCATCCCATCCTCCCAGCGGGAATGAAATGGCGGCAATGGAGCTGGTTCAGGTAAGGGATTATCAGGGAGCTGGTGGTGGGTTCTGCTTGGAGGGAGATGAGCAGGAAAGGCATAGGAGGGTGGGAGCTGCTAGAGGTGGTGGGAGGCAGGAAATATCTAGGGTGGAGAAAGGGAGGGGACAGGATGTGAGAAACCTGCTGAGACTTGTGTAGTGTAGGGTGTGTTGGGTTGTCACCCTGGGGTGCAGTCTGGGGGGCTTCTGGGAACCACTGTGCCCTCTAACCCTCAAGATGGGCTGGCCCTTTTCACACTGATTTCCTGGAGATTCAGCCAGCCTCTCCAGTCCCTGTTATTACCCAACATGACAGCAGGTCGTGCCATACACTCAATTAAGCTACCTGAGTGCTTTTCCTAAGCCACTCAAGGAAAGATAGAAGACAACAGCCAATTTCCCAGTGATAAGTGATATCAAATAGATCAAAGCAGATTACTTAGCAAATAACCAAAAACTCAAACTAAGCCTAACATACTATATCAGAGTTGGGCAAACTACGGCCTGCAGGCTACATCCAGCCCATGGGACCCTCCTGCCCGGCCCCTGAGCTCCTGGCCCGGGAGGCTAACCCCCAGACACTTTCCTCCTGTTCTCCCTCCCCCGCAGCCTCAGCTCACCCCGCCGCCAGCACAATGCTCTGGGCGGTGGGGCTGCGAACTCCTGGGGCAGTGCTGCTGCAGAGCCCGGCCTGACCCACTGCTCTATGCTGCGTGGTGTATGGCTGTAGCACCGCCAGCCACCAGTGCTCCAGGCAACGCAGTAAGGGGGCAGGGCATGGGGGGGTTGGATAGAGGACAGGGGACTTTGGGGTCGTGGTTCAGGGGGTGGTGGTGTGGTTAGGGCAGTCAGAGGGTGGGGAACAGGCCAGGTTGAATGGGGGTAGGAGTCTGGGGGGCAGTTAGGAAGGAGGGGGGGTTGACTGGGGTTCTGGGGGCGGTCAGGGAGCCGGGGGGTGGATGGGGCAGGAGTCCAGGGGGGCCATCAGGGAACAGGGGGTGTTGGATGGGACAGGAGTCCCGGGGATGGGCCTCATGGGTGAGAAGGGGGGGCAGATAGGGAGTGGGGGCTGGGTCACGTCCCCCTCCCCTAACCGCTCCTCTATACAATTTCCAAAACCCGATGCGGCCCTCAGGCCAAAAAGTTTGCCCGCCCCTGTACTAGATCGATAGAATTTGAATTACCAATTTCTCACCCTGACTGATTGAAGCAGTCCACCAAGTTTCCATACACAAACTGGAAATCCCTTTACCCTGGGACCAGCACATCCCCCAGTTCAGTCTTTGTTCCTCAGGTGCTTCCAGGAGTTCTCTTGTGTGGGGAATGAGGCCAAGAGATGACGTCACACCGCACCTTATGTAGCTTTTCCATATGGTGGGAACCCTTTGTTCCAAACTCAGTTCCCAGTTCAATCTGTGGAAAAATAGAGGTACCAAAATGGAGTACAGTGTCATCCATGCCGTAGCATGCCCTGTTGAGTCATGGTAGCCATGACTCATAGGCTGGCTGAAACATTCACAGGAAGGCTTAGCTCTTCCATGGTCCATTGTCTTTGTTGATGAGCCATCAGCACTGTCTGGCTTCTTCATTGTTGTACCTGAAAGGCTAGTTGTGGATGTTACCCAGAGTAAGCACATTTGAAATACAGATACATAGTCAATATCCATAACTTCAGATACATATATGATCCGTGCACACAAATAGGATAATCCTATTAAATAAATCATAATTTTTCCAATGACACCGCACATGATGCATCTTGCACAAAATGCATTATAATTATGTCCTAATCATATTATACTCATACCACTATGCTGAATATGGGTTGTAGTGTCAGATAGGGCCTAATTTCAAGGCACAGGAGATGGGAATGGAACTCCCCCTCTTTGTGGAACAGGAAATTGCCCTCCAGCCAGGGCTGGGAAAACTTCCCAGACTCCCAATGCTGGATCCTGAATCTACTGGCACTTCATTAGTTACCACCACCCACAATCTTTGTGAGAATTGCAAACTTTGTCAGTGATGATTTTATATTCTCTGTTAAATAGCAAGGCCAAGAACCTATCCTTGCGGGAACCCACTAGAAAGAAATCCACTCGATCATGGTTTCCTATTCACAATCCCATTTTTAAATCTATTTAATGTATGCCGTATGTATTTTGTATCTTTCTAGTCAAAGTACTGTGCTGAACGAACTCATATGCCTTACAGAAGTCTAGGTATATTACATCAATACTATTAGCTGCAACCAAACTTTTGATCTCATCAAATAAGGATATCCAGTTAGTTTGATAGGATCTATTTTCTCTAAACCTTTGTTAATGGTCACTAATTATATTACCCTCCTTTAATTCTTTATTAATTAAATCGTGTATCGGCTGCTTCATTCTCTCATCCAGTATCAATTTCAGACTAACACTCTTGTAATTAGCTGCATCATCTCATTTATACTTTTTAAATATTGGCACAGCATTAGCTTTATTCCAGTCTTGTGGAATTTCCCCAGTGTTCCAAGTTGCAATTAAAATCAGCATTAACAGTCCACCACGCTCCTCCACCTGGTCTTTCAAAACTCTAGTTATCTGGACCCACTGATTTAAACACATCTCACTTTAATAGCTGCTGTCCTCGTGAGTTGTTGTTGGAATGGAAAGACTGTCGACGTCAACATCTTATGATATGAGTTACATCATCTGTTTTTCTCCAAATCCAGGAGAGAAATATTTATTGAACACTTTTACCTCGTTTGCATTATTTTTGATAATTCTGCCATTTCCATCTAGTAATTTACCACTACCATTGTTAGGATTAACTTTGTACTTAATATACTCCTTAAAACTTCCTTCTTATTTCCATTGGTTGATCATTGATTTCTGATAGCTTCCCTTACCAATTTTCTACAATTCTGATCTTCTAACTTATATTCTTTACTATTGACTTCCCTTTCTTCCATATATTTTATTTGGAGGAGTGTTGGAATTCCTACCACGGAGACACCAGCAGGGTCCAGAGATAGCCCCATCTCCTATATCAAGCTCTGGCTAGTAGGTATGTGATAAATGTGAAAACCCTGCCTCCGTCTGTCAGCTGGGAGACACAAAGGTTCTCTCTTTCTACCCTCTGATGTCTCCTGGCTGTTCTAGGCAAGGTGGGGTGGGACTCTGTTAACATGTGCTTCCTGGAATTTCCATTTACCTGGTGCTGCTGTTCCATGAATAATGGGGTTGTGAATGGGGCAGCAGGTACTGAGTGTTGGACTCTTTCTCTTTCAGCGGTTGGTGACTTTTGAGGAGGTGGCTGTGTATTTCACCAAGGGGGAATGGGCTCTGCTGGACCCCACTCAGAGAGCCCTCTACAGGGATGTCATGGAGGAGAATTATGTGACGGTGGTCTTGCTAGGTAAGGAGTCCTGTCTCCTGGGTTATTAGAAGCTGTGGGGTCTCTAAAGAACCTGAGTAGTAATAATTTTATACCTTTATTCATCATACAAGTTTTGCAGGTTTCCTTGCCCCCCCCCTTTTTTTGCCTTATCTCCCACCCACTAGTATAATTTTTGGACATGTGCCTTTTTGGTGCCGTCCGTCATTTTAAAATTCGATTTAATGTATCCTTATTGGCTACATTAATAACTACATTAATAACTGTAGCTTTCATGCCTTTTCCTCATTTTAAGAGGAAAATATGCCACCTGTAGAATTCTAAATTGAGTAAATAGGTGTATGACTCATGCATGGCTTGCGTGACAGTCAGATGAGCTCCACTTTTGATAGGACAGCATATAATGTTGCCATTCAGGACTCCACAAGTGAAGGGTGAACAGAGCCCTATGAGGGGAGGAGAAGGGGGGGAGGAGATAATTCTGGGGTGCCAGGACATAGGGACGGTGTGTGCAGGATTAAAGCTAAGAAGCAGCAGGAAGGGATGAGGTAGTGAGAGACGAGGAGGAAACACAAGAAGTTCCCAAGGTACCGGGAAGTGGTGCCGGCTGAGAGTAATGGGATGAAAGGGAGGGGAGTGTGGAGGAAGGGCACTCAGGATGTGGGCTGGATGGGTCAGTGGGAGGGAGGAGAGGTTTAGGGATCTAGAGCTGTGGGGGATGCCAGACCTTTAATCCTGAATCCGTACCCAAGCCTCAGGTAATTCCTAGACTTCAGCATAACTACTCCCACAAAGCCTCAATTTATTTTAAGGCCCTTAACTGTAGCAAGCTTAGGCTATGTTTACACTACCATGGTCAGTCGACCTGCGCTACACAACTCTAGCTACATGAATAACATAGCTGGAGTGGACGTACCTTAGGTTGAATTACAGCAGGGTGTTCACTGTGGGGGGTCGACTGAGAGCTTCACGGGTAGAGTCAGGAGTAGAGAACTGGAGAGCAATTTGCAGTTGATGCGCAGTTGATTTGGCAGGTCTTTACTAGACCCACTAAATCGACCACCGGTGGATCGATCTCAGAGCGTCGATCCTGGCTGTAGTGTAGACCTGCCCTTAATAACCCATTTATTTATGTTCACCTCCTTGCCCCTCCATGCATGTTCCAAGCTAATAAGCAATACTCTGATAATGACATTTTACCTCTAGCGAGTATAAAATTGCCCACAAGACATGAGGCTAGGTCATAGATAATAAAATCATGTCGGGGTCAACAAGAGTGAGAGTTTGGAGAAAGTCTCATCCCCCCTCTCCCCATCTACAGCAGCCAGAAGCTGTCTTCCCTCCAGGCTTCTTGGCCCAGTTCTTATTTCTTACATTCTTCTTTTCCAGAAGAATTAGAGGCTCTTGCTCCTGAATGTTAGTGTTTAATTCCCCAGCTTTCTCCACACACTGGGGGAGTTTAATTCTCCCTTCCATTACTCCTGAGTCACTAGATTTCCTAATTCCCCAAAATGTGCTTTTGCGATGTCACAGTTCTGGAGTAGCTAAGCCTTTGACCTCTCTCCATGGTCTGCTCAAGGAATGTCCTCTCAGGTATCAGACCTCTAGCCAGCCCCTCTCTATGGGTAGGGACCCACATGCCTCTCCTTTTTGACTAGGGTTTGAGGATTGCAGCTTGTCCTCCACTGTGTTCACTGGACTAATGTCCAGTTCCTGTGCTTTGCTTTCTCTCCAAGGACTGTGAGCAATGTGTGTGTGATAGAGGTAGGAATTTTGCTGATACTTGTATGATGCCAATACACACCTCAGTTTCCTGCTGTGATTGGTATTGCTATGATTATAAAGAGCAGGAGACATGAGGTGTTTTGTCACGTAGCTGTCATGGGGGTGATATGAATGGATCTTTAAGGACTGGCTTGGACTAACCTACATCAGTGGAATACCTGAGAGAGACAAGGGAATAATTGTTACCTGTCCATGGGAGGATCTCCGCTTGGCTGAGTGAAGCATACATGGACTCATTATGTTTTTGGGAGCAGGAAGAACTGGGCTCGCAGATGCAGGGAGCTCTACCGGAACGAAGACAAATGGACAGGCATAGTGAAAGGAAACTAAACTGTTTTCTACAGCAGAATGGCTGAAGGGCATTGCCCAGTATGGAATATTTTGTCTTCTTTGCTTCTCTGTCCTAATCTAAGGACTTTCCAATGCTGTGTTTCAGTTATAAACCCTGCTACGTTTTAAAAGTCTGCCCACTGTCACAGCGAAAACTTGCTCTTTGCATTGAATGAGGAACAGTCACTGAACAGGAGTGTCGTTCAGCTGGACCTGCTGACAGAGCTCACAGGTTGAGAAAGGAGTGTTGAAGCCAGAGGCTCAGTCTCAGGTGTTGAAGCCACATAACCTATCCTTGTGGAAGAGTGGGACCCCTTGGGGGTCTATCACACTCAAGGGGCACCTCCCAAGGACTGTTTAAAAGCCAGGGCATTGCATAGATTCTATGGATCCATGATTGTGTGCCACTGTGCCTTCTGGGGAAAAGATATAAAACACGAAAGGGATCTAAATGTGTATTTACCATCACCTGCTCATCAGTCCTCATGGGAATTCCTGATCTGTTCCAAAGTGTATTAAAACCTTCCTTAAAGGCTTACCTTATCAGATCATGTCAGTTTTTTTAGAGGGCGTTCCCGTCACCCTCCCACTTCCCTGGTTTTTGTCACACAGACAGGAAGCAGCAAAAGACCAGAAGTCCAAAGCGCAAATAATGCAATGTTTATTGAGGTTAGTTTCCAGGCAAGCATATTCTGAAGCCCTTCACACCAGTTGGGCTTATCTCTTAGTCTGTTCCCCAGTGTTCTGTTCCCAGCTCTGATGCCGCAAAGCCTTTACCCCATGTCCCCCTTACCGGCTCTGACACAGCAAAGCATTTACCCCATGTCCCCCTTACCAGCTCTGATGCCGCAGAGCCTTGCCTGTGTCCCCATTCCCTGTTCCCATTCCCATTCCCCCTCCTGTTTGACTCAGTTTATATAGTAATATTCTCAGCTATACCTTTGCTTAACCAATCATTGTACTGAAATTTAACTAACCAATCCTAACATATTGTAACATAATTCTCTAACAAATTGTATCCCACTACCCTAATTAACTTACATCTAGCAAAATTAATTATACAGCTGATAGAAACAATTAGAGAACCAGACTGATTAACAATGTAAAAGTGGTGGCCATAAAGTTAGAACAAAACAGAAATGAGGGTTTCACAACCATAAGCATTGATAAGTGATTTCTTGCCAGACAGGATGTTATCAAACTAAGTTTTCTTTAACCATCTTTAGATCTGTTTCTTTATCTGGTGGTGATGGGCCCTGTCTGAACAGGATAATCTTCCTAACAGCCCAATACCACCTTATTTCAGTGTGACTGGTGTTGTGGTCAAAGACACCCACGCAATGATTTTAGTTCAAAGACTCAAGCCTGAGGCCAGTTTATTGACATACATACCAGTGCACTGGGGTGCAGTCCAAAGACTGACACCCCTAGGGCTGCTCACAGGCGGGTTTTTATTTCATTAAACCGCAAGCAAAGTACAAACAATACGTCATGAGTTAAGAAACTGGGGTTGGGGTCAGCCCCCACCCAAACCACAAGTTAAGAAATTAGGGTGGGGTCAGTCCCTCCCCAAACCGCGAGTTAAGAAATTAGGGTCAGGGTCAATTTCCCCCCCCCCTCCTCCCTATGTACCTTTCTCATTTTTCCGAGAATTGGATGTTTATTTGGGTAGAGGGGCTCTTGGTGGTTTTCCCCAGGGGTGGTACTTGGCACCAGTTTGGGTACATTTCTCAAGACACATGTTATTTTCCGGGGTCTTTTGGTTAAAGATTGGGGGGGGGGGTTTCCATGGGACGCCTAAAGAGAATCTATGATTGGCTATTTTTGCAGATATCTGGAATCACGGAGTGGGTCACAGATCACCCAAAGGAGAAGCTGCATGAGTCAAGAAATTGCATTTAGCTAAAATTACCTATTGCTTCACACAAGTGGTTATTATATTTCATTAGTCATGAACATATTTCATTAGTGCTGCTGCTGGGGCTTTTCTTCTATTCTTTCCCTCCTTGCTCCCCCTTCCTCTGGTCATGACCCTTGACCGAGTTTGGCAGGGAATTGTGCAGTCTAGTCTAGTTCAGGCCCTGGCCTCTACTGCTTTGTGTAAGGGTAGTTAGCATAACAGATATCTGTTGGAGGGTTTATTTTGGTGCCTTCAGATTCACAGCTCTGGCTATTAAAAAGAAGGCCCCCCTGCTCTATTTCCCCACACAGGTTTGGGATGTGAAGATCTGACCCTATGCTTCCCAGCTTATGGGCGCCCCTGCTGCTTAGCCAAAGGCCTTAGCCTAAGAACAAGGCCTGAGACTGTCACAGTAAGAGACACATACAGACAGTGATTTTGATTCTTTGTTTTTATACTCCTGTATATAGTTAAGTGATAAAAATACACCTAAGTTCTTAAAGTATTGGCTTTACAGGTAGGCCTGAATATCTATATTCTAACAGTGGGTTGTACCCCTTCCCCCATTCAGTTTCTGTCTTCTCTATTTAGATTGTAAATTCTTCAGGGAATGGCCCATCTACTATTCTCTGTTTGTACTTTGCCTAGCACAATGGGGAACCACTGTTAGTTGATTCTTAGGCAGTAAGGTAATGCATATGATTTATAATAATAATAACTCTCCTGCCACTTTGAGCCAAGGAAGATGGCCTTGGGATGTTACTGCTTAAAAATGAGCTGGGGTTAAAACCATGGAATATTCTTTGTGACAAGTATCCCACAAATTACACTGACCTCCCTTGTTTTCTTTGCCTGGAGTAGGGTTTCCAGTTTCCAAACCTGATGTGATCTCGCAGCTGGAACGAGGGGAAGAGCTGCGGGTCCCGGACATCCAGGGCTCTGAGAAAGAAGTGCTTCCAAGAGCTGTCTTCACAGGTGAGGAATTGGTTAAACCAATTCAAAAACAGTTCAGGAATATAGGAAACATTTGGGATGCTCTACAAAGACCCTGTGGGCTCTCCCAAGTTCCAGATTGTTCCCTGCAGATGTGGAATCATTATGGCAGATGTCACTCATGGCTACCTTCCTATTCTGACTGACAACTGGCAGCAGCTCCCTCCCCGATCTCGCTTTCCCCTGAGTGTTCTGGTGAGATGCAGACCAAAACTGATCCCTTCCTCTCTCTTCTGAGGAAGGGTTTGGGGAAAATCAGCTTCTGATAGATTTGCTCTCTCCCACACGTATTTTGGTTTGTTCATCCCTTTTTCCATTCCTCTCTCTGAGATTTTCTTTCTTTCTGGCACAGGTAGTGACCTATGTCTAGATTCTCTCTGTCTCCTATCAGGTGAGGGGATGGTGAGTCAGAATGAGGAGGAGAAACCCCATCAGGAAGATACTGAGCAAGTAGAACCACATGGAACGTTATCAGGAAGATCCAAAGGGAATGTTTCCGGGAGTTGTGCACTCCAAGAAAAAGCAAATTCTTGTGAGACTCAGGAGAGGCCAGAGGAAAACTTTAGTAGCCACTCAGACCTTATAACAAGTGACAGAATCAGCTTGGAAGAGACACACTGTATATGCCATGAGTGCGGGAAAAGCTTAAATTGGAGCTCTATCCTTATCACACATCAGACAATCTACACGGGTGAGAAACATTATGAATGCTCTGAGTGTGGGAAATGCTTCATTGATAGTTCAACCCTCATCTCACATCTGCGAATCCATACAGGAGGGAAGCCCTACACATGCTCTGAGTATGGGAAAGGCTTCAATCAGAGCTCGACCCTATTCAGACATAGTAGAATCCACACAGGAGAGATGCTCTATGCTTGCTCTGAGTGTGGGAAAAGCTTCAGTTGGAGCTCAGACCTTATCGCACATAGGAGAATCCACATGGGTGAGAAACCTTATGGATGCTCTGAGTGTGGGAAATGCTTCATTCGTCGTTCAGGCCTCATCTTACATCAGAGAATCCACACAGGAGAGAAGCCCTACACATGCTCTGAGTGTGGGAAAAGCTTCAGTTGGAGCTCAAACCTTATCAGACATGAGAGAATCCACACAGGAGAGAAGCCCTACACATGCTCTGAGTGCGGGAAAAGTTTCAGTCACATCTCTGCCCTGATCACACATCAGAGAATCCACACAGGGGAGACTCCCTATACATGCTCTGAGTGTGGGAAAAGCTTCAATCACAGCTCTACCCTTATCACACATTGTAGAATCCACACAGGAGAGATGCCCTACACATGCTCTGAGTGTGGGAAATGCTTCAATAGGAGTTCTACCCTTATCACACATCAGAGAATCCACACAGGAGAGACGCCCTACACATGCTCTGCGTGTGGGAAAAACTTCAGTTGGAGCTCACACCTTGTCAGACATCAGAGAATTCACACTGGGGAGACCCCCTACACGTGCTCTGAGTGCGGAAAAAACTTCAATCAGAGCTCTACCCTTATCACACATCAGAGAATCCACACAGGAGAGACGCCCTACACATGCTCTGAGTGTGGAAAAAGCTTCAGTTGGAGCTCACACCTTATCAGACATCAGAGAATCCACACAGGGGAGACACCCTACACGTGCTCTGAGTGTGGGAAAAGCTTCAATCAGAGCTCACACCTTATCACACATCGTAGAATCCACGTGGGAGAGAAACCCTATACATGCTCTGAGTGTGAGAAAAGCTTCAATCAGAGCTCAAGCCTTATTAGACATCAGAAAATCCACATGAGAGAGAACTGTAATAAATCCCTTGACTAGGGCTGGCCAAATTTTTTTTTTTAAAAAAGTAACATTTGCTATTTTTCACATAGTGATTTTTGTTCCATCTTTACCGTCGCCTCTCAGCTCTACTAGATGAATTGCCTGCTTCTGCCTTTGCAGCTCACCCTTCTTTGGGGTCAGTCCTGTGATCTTTTCTATGAACTCCTTTCGTTTGAGTTGTAGGAGTGTGTGTCCCTCCAGCCAGGAATGTTCATCAGGTCCAGGTGGGAGAGAGAGGTTTGTTCCCAACAGACTACACTGAGGCAAAAACTACCTGTGCCTTACATCCACTAGGACTGTATATGGCATTGGCTGCTCATGTTAGTGATCTTGGTGTAAAAAGACAATTATAGATGTAGAGCAGATGCAGCCCAGGTGCAGTGGTTGCATTAGCTTTCCCCTTGACCTGACCTAAACTCCATTACTTTTCCTAGTCTAAACAAACCCTGAGCATCACGGTTATACTGTTCCCCCATTTCAAACCAATTGTTAGTCATCAAGTTCCCCCTTTGGGAACAAATTGTTTCATTTCCAGTTGCTCTGATGTAGCTTCAGGTTGTGCTGCAGAGCAGATATTTTTATTACCATTTTCCTCACTTAAAATATATTGAACTATAACAAAGAGCAGGAACAGGGCAGGGATGGGGAAAATGTCATTTCACCCTCTGTAACAGCAGAAGAAGATTCATAGATTCATAGATTCTAGGACTGGAAGGGACCTCGAGAGGTCATCGAGTCCAGTCCCCTGCCCACATGGCAGGACCAAATGCTGTCTAGACCATCCCTGATAGACATTTATCTAACCTATTCTTAAATATCTCCAGAGATGGAGATTCCACAACCTCCCTAGGCAATTTATTCCAGTGTTTAACCACCCTCACAGTTAGGAACTTTTTCCTTATGTCCAACCTAGACCTCCCTTGCTGCAGTTTAAGCCCATTGCATCTTGTTCTATCCTAAGAGGCTAAGGTGAACAAGTTTTATCCCTCCTCCTTATGCACCCATTTAGATACCTGAAAACTGCTATCATGTCCCCTCTCAGTCTTCTCTTTTCCAAACTAAACAAACCCAATTCTTTCAGCCTTCCTTCATAGGTCTTGTTCTCAAGACCTTTAATCATTCTTGTTGCTCTTCTCTGGACCCTTTCCAATTTCTCCACATCTTTCTTGAAATGCGGTGGCCAGAACTGGACACAATACTCCAGTTGAGGCCTAACCAGAGCAGAGTAGAGCAGAAGAATGACTTCTCGTGTCTTGCTCACAGCACACCTGTTAATACATCCCAGAATCATGTTTGCTTTTTTTGCAACAGCATCACACTGTTGACTCATATTTAGCTTGTGGTCCATTATAACCCCCAGATCCCTTTCTGCCATACTCCTTCCTAGACAGTCTCTTCCCATTCTGTATGTGTGAAACTGATTTTTTCTTCCTAAGTGGAGCACTTTGCATTTGTCTTTGTTAAACGTCATCCTGTTTAACTCAGACCATTTCTCCAATTTGTCCAGATCATTTTGAATTATGACCCTGTCCTCCAAAGCAGTTGCAATCCCTCCCAGTTTGGTATCATCCGCAAACTTAATAAGCGTACTTTCTATGCCAATAGCTAAGTTGTTAATGAAGATATTGAACAGAGCCGGTCCCAAAACAGACCTCTGCGGAACCCCACTTGTTATGCCTTTCCAGCAGGATTGGGAACCATTAACAACAACTCTCTGAGTATGGTTATCCAGCCAGTTATGCACCCACCTTATAGTAGCCCCATCTAAATTGTATTTGCCTAGTTTATCGATAAGAATATCATGTGAGACCCTATCAAATGCCTTACTAAAGTCTAGGTATACCACATCCACAGCTTCTCCCTTATCCACAAGACTCATTATCCTATCGAAGAAAGCTAAAGATAGGGTAAGTCAGAGAGATTCCCTTATTCCCCAACACCATCCCAATCCCCCTGTTGTTCAATTGGTTAGGTCAATATTTTTTGTAAAGGGCTGGCAAGAGGATTCCTTAGTAAATGATTTGTAACTAAGGGAAATATCCATGCATTTGCCTCCCAAAGCAGTTGTGGCCCAGGCCCTGCAGGAGGTTGCTCCTGAAGATATCTCCTTCCTAATCAGGTGCATGTTGCCTATTATTTGGGAAATGCAATCCCTATCTAGGTAGAGATGGGAAAAATGGAAGTGACATTTCTCTTCAGCTCACCCCTGGGAGATGCTGCAAATGTGTAGGAAATGAAATCCATGTTGAATGTGATATAGCTGCAGAAAGATACCTATTTTGAATAGATACCTGACATTTGGTGTCTTACGGGGATTCTAAGCCACACCTGAATTTAGTCCCTAATTAAAATCTGTGCCACTAGATTAAAAAAATAAAAGGGCATAGATGGGGGAGTTATACCTCACTATCGCTACTGATATGTTGTGTGGTAGTTGAAGAATTCTACACCAGATTACTTCAAGTAAGGTCAAAGATTTGACAAGAACTGAGGAAGAAATTGCAGGTACTGGTGGTTGATTTTCACCCCAAAGATGGACGCTATGGTGACCTGTGGCCAGGTAAACTATTTTTAGAACCCTGCTCCCTTGTTAAGTGGCATTGGTCACACTCCTAAAGGATGCCATGATTAAATTAGTCACAACTGTCTTTTACCATTTGGATCCAAAGTTTCATGAAGCACAGAGAAATTGCTGATTCCTTCAGAGTCATTCTATGCCTATGGGTCCCAATCTGGCTGCCTTGTTGGACAAGAAGCACTTCTATGCTGGGCAAATGATGGTAGCCAGTGAGGGAATGTATCCGATTCCAAGTTCAGACTGCAGGATACATGAATGCCTTTCCAGAGTCTATCGTTTGGTCTCTTCATTTTGCTATTAAGTCTAATGCATTTGTATCACTTCTCCTCCTGCTGCCACTTTGAAAGATTAGAAAGTGTGAAAATAGAGCACAGGTGGTTTATCTCATGATGCAACCTTCCCATGTAGTTAGAGACCCCCTTCCACCTACACTTCTGGGAGAAGACACAGGGAGAAATGAACTCACAGAAATGGAAGGCTCCTAGGTTATTGTAGAATGTGACTTCACACAAAGCTCACTGGGTGGAAATGGGAATCAACAGAAAACTGCCCTATCAGTTTATATTTTGTAATCTTTGAATAAGTTGTTACCAGTGACAATGAAATTAAACATGAAGTTATTTAGTGTAACGGAAGAGGCTGATCATGTGATAACTTTCAGTATTACAATATAATTCAGGTTTTCTTCTAGTTCGTTCCCTGCCGCTTCCTACTACATAGGAAATGGAGGCTAATCCTGAAATTAAAATCTCACTCCAAAGTAATTAGAATGTGAGAGAAATAGCATGTATGAGAATAGAGACCCAGTATAGACTGCAATTATTTCTATTTCATATGGAATTTATTATGATTAATTTTTAAATAAATCTTCCCTTAAGAGGAAAATTAGCCTTTTACCCAGTTAGAGGGTAACATCCACAGAGTTCTCCAGGTCTCTTGTTTGCAAAGCAAAGGTGTCACATCAGGTAGGAGATGTCAAAATCTAAAATGGTGATGAATGTGTGATGGTAGCTTTTCTGGGTTGGTTTTTCGGTTTTGTTTGTTTTTTTAATTTAATTTAAATTTTGCAACCAGTTATTTTTATAAGTGCTGAGGCTCCTTTTCCTTTTGAGCACAGCTATTTAACCCTCAGGCCTGGCTCTGGAAACCTCCCCAAAATTGGCCTTGTGTTTTTCATGTTTGATAGCTTTGAGGTACACACATCCAGATTACATGCGGTTCACAGCAACAGATATTTTGAGAAACCTGGTGGGTTAAGCGGGCCTTTTCCAAATTAACATTGGTCCAAAGTCTTCCTCAATTCATCTGGATTGTGACACATCCTGTATCAAAGGAGTGGTTCACACCTGATTTGCCCAGGGACCTCGGGGCAGGTGTGGTAAGATAGGATAAGTAGGAATCACAACAATAAAGTTAAAGGTAAGGGTGACAGACCTTCACCTTGCAGGTCAACAAGCCTGTTCTGTTCATTCCCTCTGATACATCTGGCACTGGTCACTCTCAGCACACTGGGCTAGATGGACCATTGGTCTGACCCAGTATGACCAGTCTTGCGTTCGTCTGTAAGCCATCTAGGGCCTTGTCTAGACTGGCAAGTTTCTGTGCAGTAAAGCAGTTTTCTGCAGTGCAACTCCCAAGGTGTACACACTGCCAAGCCACTTACTGCACAGAAACTAAGCAGTTGCAGTGCTGTAAAAAAACCACCCCGACAAGAGGTGTACAGCTTTCTGTGCCAAGGCTACAGCACCCCGGTGCCAGTGTAGACATCCTTGTCGATTACAGCACTGCGATTGGCCTCTGGGAGGTGTCCCACAATTCCTGTTCTCATCTCTCTGGTCATTGGTTTGAATTCTACTGCACTGCTCTGAGGTGATCAACCATGAACCCCGCCCCTTAAATTCCTTGGGAATTTTGAAAGTCCCCTTCCTGTTTGCTCAGTGACGCATGCAGTGGTCTCAGAACATCTTTCCAGGTGACCATGCCTGCTCCATGCACCAGGCGATCCCGCGCTTAGAGCAATATTGAGCTGCTGGATCTCATCAGAATTTGGGGAGAGGAGGCAGTTGTAGCTCTAAGGATTAATATGCTTATTTGCATAGATATATGCAAGTTAGAAAGTAAACAGCTTTAACAGCTTTTACATTAGCTTCCTCTGCCAGAGGTGTGACATTAGTTTCCTCTGCCAGAGGCACCACCAAAGGTGTGATCCTATATCTTTCAACACCAGGTCATCAAAATGGGGTGTGAGTATTAATCAAAGCTTTGCAGCACGTAATCGTGTATTATCATACATATATATCTCGTATATTCGATAATCGTGTATTATCATCATATATATCTCTTGAATAACTGTGATACAATTATAATTTTGTAATTCTAACTGTTTTACCATTTACTTACTATTTCATTGATTTTAATAAAAAGTCTTTATAACTATACCTGTCTAAGTGTAAGCTTCCTGTCATACCCCCAAAGGTCCTTTTATAAACTCTGTAAAGCCTAATTCAAAACAAACTTTATCTTCTAATCAAACAAATTGGCAAGCCTAAACCCATACTAATTAATATCCATAATAATTATTATTATCAATTAAATTAATTAAATTAAGTTAATACACTAAATCAACACTAATAACACACCCCAAATCAGGCTACACTGTTCGGTCCCAGCTGTGCTCTAGCCGTAGGAATTATGATACGTATGGACAGATTTCACAATGCATGAGAGAAAGGGGCCATGACCGGGACACCCTGCAAAACAGGGTCAAACTGAAGGAGCTGTGGAACGCCTATTCCATGGCATGGGAGGCAAACCGCCACTCCGGTGCTGCACCCATAAGCTCCCTGTTCTACAAAGAGCTGGATGAGATACTCAGTGGTGACCCCATCTCCAGTACAAAGGCACTGTGGATAATTCGGTGGTTCACGTGCCAGTCGAGAGTGGACCGAGCCAGGAGGAGGAAATCTTGGATGAGGATGTGGAGGCGGAGGGAGACCCAGAGGCAGAGGATGAGTCGGATGTCAGAGATGCATGCAGCCAGGAGTTCTTCTCTACCCCGGAGGAGGCTAGCCAGTCACAGCTGTCGGAGCTTGACAAAGCGCAAACAGAAGAGGAGGCCCCTGGTAAGTGGCTTTGATTTGCGGAATCACTGAAGTGAGTTCTTAGCGATAGAAGGGTTGCAGAAAGCAGGCTTGTGTCTGTATGATGTGCGT